GCGGGACGTAGGTGTAAGATCTGTCGTATTATATTTATATAATACTTTATTATATATAATTTTTAACCACAAATGCTCAACTTGCACGTCCACGACTTCACACATTACGTAATCGAGTTGAAAGGTCACACGTGTTCCGGTTCAAAAAGCTCATTTTCTCCTCCAACTTCAAAATCGTCCGACATCGTAGTTTTACCTTTTATTTATTTTTGTAAATGGCGTTTGACTCAGTCTTTGCACGTAAACACTGGGTCTGTTCTTACACCTACGTCCCGCTTGACCTTTCACCCTGATGACGTACCGTGTGTCGCATCACAGCTCGAGCAAGACCAGCATTAGTGGTTAAAAGTATATAAATGTGTATTTTGTTATAAATGTCGGCTGGTTTGTCTAGATCAGACTCTTATTCCTCGGCTGGATCGTGTCGAGACTTTGAAGCTGCACTGAAACTCACATCTGGACCTTCGACCCGTTGGACCCCATTGATTTGGACCCGGTAACTCTATAGAAACGTTAGCACACTGTTTTGAGAACGCGTGTGTGTCAGGTTTGCGCTCACCGTTGCTGACGGTGTTGACGTAGTATTGTCGGCCCTGTGGAGACATGTAACTCCTCCAGTCTCTGGGCAGCGGCTCGTCCACGGGACACGGCGACGACACGTTCTACAACACAAGAGCAAACAGAACATTATCTTTACACACTTCACTGGAGAAACACACAGACCCACAGACTTCCACAAGCACAGATACAGCGACTGAAGAATGAACACACCATTAAAACATGCGCATACAACTGATCAAAAGTGACACTAATGACATTTATAATCTTACAGAAGAGTCTGTTTCAAATATATGCTGTTCTTATGAACTTTCTGTTCCTCAAAGAATCCAGAAACATGACGGTTTACACACACGTATGAAGCAGCAACACTGATAATAATCATAATCATGTTTGTTGATCATCAGATCCTCATATTAGAGTGATTTCTGTAGGATCATGTGATACTGAAGACTGGAGTAATGATGCTGAACATTCAGCTTTGATCACAGGAATAAATTACACTTTACTGTATATTCACATAGAAAACAGCTGATTTACACTGGAATAATATTTCACTGTTTTTATTCTATTTTTTATCAAATAAACGGAAGAGACTCTTTCAAAAACCAACCCCAAACTTTTGTAAAGTCGTGTATATTTACTTGTATATCATTGGGGTTTTGTAACTCTAATAGATTAAAGTCAATCTCAACAGATTATGAATATGATAGATAAATTAAATGTGTTAATAATATTTCACTGTTTTCACTGTATTTTATCAACTAAATGCAGCCCTGATGAGCAGAAGAGACTCAATCATTCTTCATTTGTTCAGTGGTTATTCTGCTTGCGTCACACACACACACACACACACAGTTTCAGTCTCTGTTGTGTTTGAGCTGTTTCTCAGAGTTCAGGTCACAGAGGTTTTCCCACTCGTAATGTCATCCGGTCGGGAATGCTGGAAATGTGTGGGAAGATTCGGAGCCAGACGTCAGCGTGATCGAGACTGTGTGTGTGTGTGTGTGTGTGTGTGTGTGTGTGTGTGTGTGAAGGGTTCGTCTGTATAAAACTAAACTTCTGTCGTGTAATGGTTTACTCGGCCTCACCGGTGTGACTCTCTCCCTCGGAGCACGGGAGCTTTTCCTCGTCTTTTAGAAATAATCATGCGACATGTCTGTGTTTCACAGGAGAGTAAATGATGACAGAATGTTGATTTGACCTTATAATGATCTTTCACTCCTCTGGAAAGTGAAATGTTTTCCTCTGGTGTTTCCTGATGATAATATAATCACAACTAACATTGCCTATCAACACAAGTCCAGCAGAACACATCTTCAAACACAGTTTTTACGGTCCTCTATTATAATGATTATGGCGCTCATGGGACGCGGTTGCATTAAATTAAATTAAGTGTTTCTTCCTGTGAAACAAAAGAGTAACAGCTTTCATTCATTTCCTCAGATCAACGCTCAAACAACCAAACAAGCGTAAAGTTGCTCTGATTGTGTCCAGCCAAATGCAGCATTAAATATTGCATTATTGCAGATGGTGGACATTATAAACCCTGAGGGCGTTCTCATGAGACGCCAACGAGCCCGAGGGCCAGCACATGCTTATAACAGACCGACACGAGCTCTGACAGACTGCGGGAGAGTTACATATCTTACATGCACTTACCAGAGTAAGAACAGTAAAGTACGCATAATTACATCCAACTAACCCTCAGCCAGACCCTAACCCTATAGTAAGTGCATATAGTTAATTATTATTACTCAGTACTTAAATATATAATTATACTGTAACAACGACACCTTAAAATAAAGTGTTACCAGATGCGCATATATTCGAAACAACACACACACACACACACTCGATTGAGGCGGATAATAGTTGATCCGATGAGACATGCATAAACTCGCTTCATCTCAACCCTCAGCTGTGATTGGATAACTGGAGTAACCAGCGGACCAATGGCGTCCCAGCGTCTCTAATGTTGGTTTGGTGTTTCTGAAAGTGGAAGTGTGTGTTCAGAGTGATTGGGTGTAATTCCCTCCAGAAGCGTCTCACACACACGAGTGTGTTCCCGAACACCAGCATCCGAACGCCAGAGAACACGACAGCGTTTACTGTGTTTCGCCTGACGCGACACACACTCGTTTATGATGGAGGGAGACACAACCAGAAACTTAGTTTATTACTGATATTGTTTGATGGTTTTGTTCTCTTGAACACATGGGATGGAAACACTGCTTTATTCAAATGTTTTATTCCATATTCCAATTTTGTGATTAAAGGGATAGTTCACTTTGAAATTAATGTTTGGTGTGTTTTATCTTACCTCAAGGACATCCGAGATGTGGGTGTCTTTGTTTCCGCAGTAGTTTCAATTTTGATATTTTTAGGTCAAAGCGTTCTTGTCTGTCAGTCATATAATGCAGGTCTATGGTCACCACCTCAAAGAGCAGCACAGAGAAGTCCAGATTAAACATGATTTAATGACTCGTAAATGTAAGTACACATTGATGGCCTAAGACACGAAACGAGCGGTTTGTGTGAGAAAACCAACAGTATTTATATCGTTTTTACCTCTTGTAAACACAGCCACGTCCAAGTGATCTGAGGGCGCCGGCGCTTCGGTCTGGAAGTGATCTCTCGCGTGTCACTCATTGTTTACACAGAGATTTCGGAAGTGTTACCTCTCACTGTGAAGATCTAAACATATTTAGATATACAGGAAATCGCAATGGAAGACGATTTCGATATATCAACAGACAACGTTGAATTTTACACGTACACGCGCGAGAGATCACTTCCAGACCGAAGCGCCGGCGCCCTCAGATCACTTGGACGTGGCTGTGTTTACAAGAGGTAAAACCGATATAAATACTGTTGGTTTTCTCACACAAACCGCTCGTTTCGTGTCTTAGGCCATCAATGTGTACTTACATTTACGAGTCATTAAATCATGTTTAATCTGGACTTCTCTGTGCTGCTCTTTGAGGTGGTGACCATAGACCTGCATTATATGACTGACAGACAAGAACGCTTTGACCTAAAAATATCAAAATTGAAACTTTTGCGGAAACAAAGACACCTCCATCTTGGATGTCCTTGAGGTAAGCTAAAACACACCAAACATTAATTTCAAAGTGAACTATCCCTTTAAGGTAAATTTGCAGCTTTGTATTGAAACACATCCAGTGCTAATGAGGATCTCTAACAGTAAATATGAGTCTTGATCAGAGACATAAATACATTCTGAATCCCTATTGTGTTTTCTCTCGGAGGCCTTGTGTTCCTCTGGTTTGAGTGTATGAATATATAAGTATATATATATATATATATATATATATATATAAGTCCAGAGCTGTTGTTTCTCTGAGACACACACATGGTTCCCACACCCACGTTGTTCCCGGCTCGTTCAGGCTCTGGCATCATGCTTGGAAAATCAGGAACGACCCGTCAAACGCTCAAAGGAAGAATGCTTTAAATATGGAGTCTCGTGGATGAAGTCCATCAAACTCTGTAATATCCACTATTTAACCTCACATGACCTTTCATCCCTCGTTCTCTGATAGTCGGATCATTTGGCCTAATTTAAAGTAGCCATGAAATCAATAAATCGCAGTGTTTATTCTAAATTAATTATCGTTGCACGTCATTATTGTTTTAATAATCTTGAATCAGAATAACAGCATCTCTTCTCTTCTCTGATGATGTGGGCGGGGCTATAACCTGTCACTCACATGAGATCAGCCAATAGCAAACCACAACCAGCCAATCATCCAATCAACTCCTCACAGACACAATCAAGCCCCGCCCACATGTGTTCTCGTTCCAGAAGCGTTTCACTCGATATACGACACTATAGAGGAGAGAGACTCGAGCAACTTCCCTTTCCTTATATTGGAGTTTAGTGTTTTTTAGCCTTTTTATTGCTGAATTCTAGTATAACTCTACAATGTGTTTGAGGAAGAGTCAGTCGTGAGGAAGAGGAAGAGTCAGTCGTGAGGAAGAGTCAGTCGTGAGGAAGAGGAAGAGTCAGTCGTGAGGAAGAGGAAGAGTCAGTCGTGAGGAAGAGGAAGAGTCAGTCGTGAGGAAGAGTCAGTCGTGTCGTGAGGAAGAGTCAGTCGTGTCGTGAGGAAGAGTCAGTCGTGAGGAAGAGGAAGAGTCAGTCGTGAGGAAGAGTCAGTCGTGAGGAAGAGGAAGAGTCAGTCGTGAGGAAGAGGAAGAGTCAGTCGTGAGGAAGAGGAAGAGTCAGTCGTGAGGAAGAGTCAGTCGTGTCGTGAGGAAGAGTCAGTCGTGTCGTGAGGAAGAGTCAGTCGTGAGGAAGAGGAAGAGTCAGTCGTGAGGAAGAGTCAGTCGTGAGGAAGAGGAAGAGTCAGTCGTGAGGAAGAGGAAGAGTCAGTCGTGAGGAAGAGGAAGAGTCAGTCGTGAGGAAGAGTCAGTCGTGT